TTTAAAGAGTAACATCTGATTTGTTCTCATAATATACTCACAAAATTATCTCTTCCAAACTATGAAACTCTTGCCATTATTTAGAAGAACTTGACCTTGTCATACAAAAATGTTGCAAAGAATATTATTATTTTATATTTATATATACAAATATATAAAATTAAATATGTAAATTAAATATGTATATATTTTATATTATTTTTTGTTTTATATTTTTGTATTATTTCATATTAAACTAGAATTATTGGCTCAAAAACCTATTAAATGTTTTATTATTTTGGAAACCCATCAAATGATCGGTTTAAGTACATGTAATGTACGTTTTATATTGAAGGTGGTATCGAATATATTTTTATTATCCTCAGTCGTTCAAATTCTGAACATTTTATCACAATTTATTAAATTTCACAGAATAAATAATTATTAAATTTTGATTGATTTTAATAAATTAATTAAAATTTCATATATTTTCTATGTTCTTAGTTTTTAAATAAAAACTCATTGTGTGTATTGTGCTTCCTTAAGGTATCCGTATTTTAAAAATGATCCGTAGTGACAGTTTTTGCAGTAATCTCCCAAGTTATATTGTAAGGCTTTATAAAACGCATTCCCACTTTATAAAATCCACTTCGCACATATGGAAAATTAGTTGTATCTGTTAGGCATTTATTTAGATCGAATCGTCGTTTTGTCAATGGAGCCTTAAACTCAGTTTGAAACTGTGGCGAATTCGGTGCACATTTGCTAAATGTGGTCATAATAATTCTTTTGTACACTTTATTCATATAGTACTCCAGATTTTTTGGTGGCATTCTAATTGCAGTTGGGATATATCTATCATTTCCTGAAACACTTCTCAACACATACAGTTCTAGCATATAATCATTTGACAAGTCCTGTTTAATATCTATAAAACCGTTTAATCCATATTTACCACGAGATATGCGATATACACTTAATTTCGAGTCAATCACATTGGGATTGGATGTATAAAAAGAAGCATCGATTGGTTCAAAAGTGTGATTAATCTAAAAAATATAATTTTTTATTGCATTTAAAGTTCCTCAAAAATTATAATAAAATGTACCTTTCCAAAGGACGTTTCACAAAGTAGTAAACTCCACAATAGAAAAACAATAATCCTCACCATGGCGTATTGATTTTGTACTAAACTTGAAATCATTATTCTTCTATTTATATTAAGATTTTTTGTAATCGATCTATTTGATTCTGGCGTGAGAAAAAGCAATAAATGTGCATGAACTTGTAACAACTTTATAATAATAGTCTTTTTATAAATATATGTTGTGCATTATTATATTATTATTAATATAATAATATAATATGCATTATATTATTATTAATATTATATACCATATTATGTGTTTTGGAAAGTAGATAAAAAATATTGATGAAATTCCGTCTGCCAAGTTACGCGGCTTACTTAGGCCCTAAGAGCTGAGCCCGTTATAATTCCATTTCTGAACGTTACCTTTTTAATGAATTTTACGTAAAGACAAACCTGGAGTCACCCAATCGCTTTAGTTAAATGGACAATATTTTTAATGTCTCTACTCGTGATATCAGACAAACACTTGACACTGTCAAGTGCAATTGTGCATAAAGATCCTGTTGAGTGCTTTATCCAGCTGAGTAAATAGATGACATTTTTTTCCACCTCTGATCCACAGTTACGACTGTGTCGCATCATTAAAGCTGCTATTCTGGGTTTTAGCTAAATTTTTGACTACAAAATAGGTTTTGTTTTGTGCTAATTAAGTTAGATAAAATATTTTCAAAAGTAATCTAAAAGAGTATCTATGTTTTACTAAATAAATTCATATTCATATTTTCATTTTGCTTTCATAAATGTGAATTACAGCAAAATAAACTGAAACATATGTTACAAATTTGTTTCATGTTTCTATAAAAAACCGACTCCACAAAGTAACGATTTTCAATAAAATGAAACAATTCTAATCTGTACTAATTAGTTGATTTAAGTTTGATTACATTTAATTACATTTAATTACAAACAAGGAACGTTGTTTAGGAAATAAATCGAGATAAAATAATTATTTAAATATATGTTTTCTATTTAATTTAAATCAATTTAATTAATTTTTAGTTTAAATGCAAAATGCAAGTAATTAAGTTTCAAATTTTTCCATTTTTTTCTGCTACATTATTGGAGCAATCCTATAGACGGGTACTTATGTAAATAAGGATAACTTAAGAATAAAAATAAGGTAAAGTTTTTGTCCTTGCAGAATAATTGATCCTATGAATTTATATATGTTACCATAAAGAAATCTAGCACTAAATATCGAGATATCACTAATATTTCTCTTATCGCACGTGAAAAATACACAATAGATGGTTTTATTGAGATAAAGGAGGATACATCAGAAAAGTGGATGACAAATGCTTCAGTACTGCAAAGTGTTACCAGTAACAATAATTTTAAGCAAATAATATTATTAATGGAGTCTAAAAGCGATTTGTTATGAAATCGGTAAGGAATTGTACAATAAATGGAGTGTTTTTCGAAGGCAACTTTCAACGGAGGTAGTTAACTGAGCGTCGATTAAAAGTAAATAAATGCAATGTTGAAACAGATACTATGCCTTATGTATCAACTGGTTACTATAGATTATATGGTCAGGCTTTGGAACCACAATATTTAAGTTGGGATATTCTTGTATTGAAATATTCAAAATGTATTCAAATCCCACTTTATAGTAATCTGGAACATAATAATAATACTTCAATTAGAATATATTACTAAAATAATACTAAATTGTAAATACTTAAAAATATTTACGCATTTATTGTTTATATTTAAATGAAATAATTTTAATTAATATAAAAGAAATGGATTTGCCACACAATTAATAGATTTCGATTTTTACACTTCAAAGTAAGATTTGTGAACTTATAATAAAAGTTTTCTTAACTTTGGAAACACCTAAAAGTTGCTTTAGAGGACAATAAAAATATCTAAAACTGAGTCATTGTATATGATAAGATATATGTATTTAGTTAATAAGTTTTTGATCACCATTTTTGGTTAAAATATCCTTATAGCCTTACTATTCATACAAAATATCACTCACTTAAATGTCCTGGTTTTACTAAATAATGTCGTTTTCCATAGTATTCTTCAATAGAAGTATAAATGACTGACTTCTACATCAAACTTTTGGGAGGATTTTATATTTTTTAATTCGACAGAAGTATACTTATATAAAGCAGCCCTTTTAGCCGTTTAAATTTTAAAAATATAGAACCAAATTTCGATTTGATATCAACTCGATCAGAAACATTAAATTTTTTTAGCCTCTCGGTCGTACTGCCTGCTTATCAAATTTAGTTTGGTTTTCCTTCTATCATGGACTATTTTTCTGTAATGTAATCTGCCCACTAAATGTTTCAACTAAAATTTACAAATTTATTAAAAGTTATTATTAAAAAAACTAACTACCCAATTCTCTTACAAGAACACAGTGAATGAAAAAATAAAAATTCCTTAAAAAGAAAATATTCAAACGATTATAATATATTGTCATACGAAAGATGAAGCAAAGGAATTGATCCAAAATTTTGTTAAAAATAATGTTTTCGGTAAAAAATAGTTCACAATTTTTAAACATGTTTAATTGATACTAGTATTAATTCGTATACCATCATCAGTGAAGTCATCCAATTGACCACCCCTAAGCTTTAAGCATCCTATTCTATACTATTCTTCCAGAGTAGACATGGTGTGAAAAAACTGTCAAAAATGGTTTTCCGTAGGCACTCTCTGCACTCCTACAAGCCATATGATCTGCCAACGAAAGTCAGCCGAGCTTAATTTTTGTAGCTTTGCCTGCTTCAAGGCAGATCGCGTCCATTTCTGTAATAGTTGAACACGACTAAGAGATCAGATTGCTTGTCGCTAAGCACTAAAGTTTCCGATTAATACGTTAGTATTAGTAGCACCATTTTCTTATATGCAATTAGATTGGATATTAAAATAAGATTTCTAAATTTAAAAAGCCTTGCGCAAATGTTTTAGACTGTGTTGGACTCAAGCAGCCACCGGAATTATCAACTACTACCATTAAACCAAGATAACTGAAAATTTGCCCTACTTTAAATCCTGATTGTGTCATCAACTATATATGTTCTTATTGCAATAAGAACTGTACTTTTATTATATATATTTTTTTTTTCATTTACCGTAATGATTGTTGTATTCGTCTATTGTAGCTTATGCCATTATCTGAATGGATTTGGTGAAGATCTACTCACTTGTTGAAGTCTCAGACTCTCGGATTGTTTCTTCAATACTATATTGAAACGGTGGCATGTCAGATCATCTAGTTGTTAAATGTTGTTGTTGATTAATTTAGATAACAATCCTGTTAGTCAGGATTATCCTGCTGCTGTTGGTCAATCTATATAGTAGTGTCAGTCTATTAATAATTTGCTTACGGCATTTAATTCTAAAAATTGGTGGTAGATGGTATAGTGTTGTAACGAAATATTGAGTTCTATTGCTTCGATTTTCTATTGTTTTTCTATTAACTGTCTACGTGTGGAAATCCAATAATTTGTTGATTTATTTGATAAATGGCCAAATTTCTCTTGTGAGATGGATTAGATTATTTAATAGGAAGTATTCAGTAATATCAATATCTACTATCCTAGGTATATGACATATTATATATTGTATTGATACTTTTTTTGTTGCTTCGTATAAAGTTTAAAAGATTGACCAACATTTGATGCGAATTATAAAGGATGTCATACTGCACAAGAATATGATAGTTATATATAAACCATAAGGCTATATACTATGTATAAAATGGTAAAACACAAAATTTTTTTGAATATTTGGTAGCTCATTGTTCCACATTTATTTTGATTTGAAAAATAAAACTTTAGTAATAAAATAAAATTTGTCTTTAATTTTATTAGTCCTTTCCACTGACAAATGGAAACAGTTTCCCCATACGTCCGTGTGAGGAATATTCTATAGTGATATTTTTTTATATAAAGAAATCGTGGTTGTTCAAATTTTATAAAAAATAACTTACATTTAAGTCGTAATATTTCCCTTAACAATTATTTTAGCCTTTGAAATAAAAATGTTAATTTTGTCTGCAAATTAGTCTGCAAACTAAGATATTTTTAAAAACAGAATTGAGCTATTTTAAAATATTAAACATTTACAATTATTACTTAGTAATTTCTGCTGTTAGAAATTTTTGTCACCCCTTCTCCTCTTCTGTTTTAACAATTTTAAGAAACATTACATTTCTTAAGTTGCAGGTCCATTGCATTTTATTTCCACCAATGTTGAAAGAATTTTAGCTGTAAATTTCAATAAAAAGCAATTAAAGTATGTATATTCTGTTGACAGATATCGATAAATTCAAAATCTACTTAGTACTTTTTGAGACCAGCGCGCCTACGGTAATTTTTGATTATATGCCAGAAGCCAGCTAATATTGCAAGTAAGAAAGTAAATAATATTCCACAGCTGATCATACAACCTTTTACCATTTCCATAATAATTAAATTTTCAGTGGTTAAAAAGCATACTTCATCTCCAATAAAATATATATGGATTATTATTGCTGCCAGTAAAGTTAGGAGAGAAATCAAAAGCAGTTTGGACCACATATTTGCAAAAATGATTGAAATTTTAAACGAAACGTTGAAAGTTGAAATTTTTATGTCTATTTCTTTAAATATTTAAATATGTCAAAATTACGAACATTTAAATGGCATATTAAGGTTAAAATTAAATAAGTTAAGAATTAAATATTTATTAAATGAAACATCTACTTTGTTCGCATTGAGGGCCTACAGAGCTTCTTCGATAAGTGCTTGGAAAATCGTTGCGTTCAGCATTTTCAAATCTA